CCTGTGTGAGGACTTGAAATCCCTAGTTTATCATCGAGTGGAAAATGAAATTTGTGAAATTCAAGGGGAAAAAAAAATCCTAAAAAATGGTGCCTAGGAATGAAATCTGATCCCTGATTTACTGCCTATTCCGAGTTATTAGCTGTATTAGCAAGTTCTATGAAATCAGTAAGAATGAGCCTGTGTGTAGTGTAATTATATAAACTGCATCCAAAGGGGAGACAGTTTAATCACAATATGGATCACAGGTCTCACTAGTCATTGTGACTTTAGCTCCTGCTTCAGTTTCTCAATCTCCAGATACAGTTTCTGCTGTATTACTGTTTGTAATAGGGAAGTTTTCCTCCTGTTGTGATTTTTACCCTCCAAATTTACTTTTTGCATGGAGCAGCTACTATAAAAGGAAGATGGCTTTTTTTAAAAATAAGAGATGGGTGTAGTGAGGGATAATTTGTTTTGTTTTCAGATAAATATGGTTTTTCACCATATGGTGTATCAGTGGCACATGTCCCTACCCAATCACAAAGACCTCATGAAGTTAAGTCTTTGCTTCATTAAATCAAAGCATGGTTTCTACTATCCTTTATATTAGAAATTGGGCAGGGTGCATCAAGAAACCCAACTTGGCAGTGATACTTACACTTTGGTAATGCTGTCCAGCTGCTGTCCGCTAAACAGGTAATACTAAATCTGTCTTTTGCAGGCAGGTGGGAATGGCTTGAAAACTGGTACCCAGGAGAGCATTTGAAAGGAATGGTTTCATTCACAGTGTACCCCATTTTTTCATCCAATGCATTGACCATGCCTCCATTTTGCACCTCTGGCTTTGGACACCCAACTGAAAAGAAAATGCAGAAGAGAAGGTAGTTCACTGAGAGGAGCAGATGCACTGTGAATGCTGGTTATTGCTCGAAATGGAAGAGAACAGATACACCCAAGACCCTTTACCCACAGTTTATTTCACTGCTGTTGTTCTGGTTTATAAACAACCCATAAAATCAGCTACCCTGTGAATCTCTCTCTCAATAGAGAAAGAGGGTCTATGATTGAGTGTGGAGCCAACCATGAAGTGAATTGGAATAGCAGGTGTTCAATACCTTTCAGGGTTCAGCTCAGAGCGAGTATCAAGCGATCCAATCAACACCTTCAATGAGGCATTCGATTCCAGGCCCACCATTCTACAAAACCAAGACCTAAAGAAAAGCATTTGAGTTAAACACAGAAATCCCATCTAGTATTTTATTGACTGGCATTTCGTGGAGGTGTCACCAGCTGGGGCAGCAGAGCACAGGTGGTTTTTGGGATCGTTAACATGCAGTTTGTTCCTGTGCACACTTGTGTAAAAACTTCTTCCCGTTATTGCAGTCGGACTCCTCTGCAGCAAGGGACAAGTGCACGCAAGTCAATGGAGTCACCTGGGATTTCACTGGTGGAATGAAGAGCAGAACTTGCTCCTTAACAGTGTCTTACACTCCTATAGTGACTTTCATCTTGAAGGATCCCAGGGGGCTTTTCTAGATACTACACGGGTTTGCACTTTACAGGAGCCCCTTCCCCACTGAAATGCAGCCTCTTCTAGGGCAGGGCACAGAATCCAAGCAGACAGAGGTTCATGTTAAGTCTGGGACAAGGAACAACCAAAGCTAGTGCACTTATGGCAGCTGACCTATTTCCCAGGCAACTCACACTGAAAACCCTGCCACACAGGAACAGCAGACTAAAGCTTAACCTCTTACTAGAATTTTTCCTTAAAAAAAAAAAGTTTCTTCCTGCCCTGGATTTTCAATGATGTTGGGACGACTGGCAGGTTATTCCCACTTTTTGGAGTCAGGCTGTTTCACAAACTCCCTGATGTTACATCCAGACGGCACCAGATACTTCAAGGGATGATACCAGGAGAGCTGAGTTGGGAAACCAGAAACCTGGAGACGGATGACAGGCTGACCATATCCTGGACAAACCGTATGGAATTAAGATTAATTTAATTCAATGACGTTTAATCTTATTGAATTAGGGTTAATACCTTTCGGGTCCATTGTATTTAAACGCAATTGTGAATGTGTAGTGGCATTGCATGTACCTTCTCTAGAGGAAGGGGGATGCTAGTGTACTTCCTCGGTTATCAGCCTTTGAAGTCAGCCCCCAGAGAGGTGGATATATTAGTTTAAACTGGAGTCTCCAGGGACTGACAAAGAAAGCGTTTTTGGATAGATAGCTTGTTTGGTTTTTTTTTTTTTAAAACAACCTCAGGGCTTTCTTCCTCATCCAGCAAATGGATAGGACCCCTTGTCCATGGAGGGCCCCAATCCTTTAGAAAGAGTTGGAAGGATCAGGTGCTTGTTCTGAGCTAGAGCTGTGAGGAATTAAGAACCAGAAGGAATCCCCCTTGGGTGGGAGATGAAGGACTGTGCCTGCCAGAATGCAGAGATGTGGTTGGGTTAAATCTGGGAAGCTTATTAACATGCATGTTCTCTCTGTAATGCTTTTTAAACTTAAAAATAAGGTAGACCTGCATAGGAAGAACTGTGCGGTATGTATAACTGTAGCAATTATACCTGTTAAAAACCCTCTGAAGAGAAAGCAAGCAGATGTCCCTGGTCAACCTGTCTGTGCTGGGAAATATATGGTGAAAGGAGGGTACTGTGCTGCCTGTAGATACTCCAGTCAGAAGGGACAGAGACACAGGTCTTCATCCAATAGGCAACAGCTGAGGTGCTCTAACCTTTATACCTTCACCTACATGGTGCGAGGGCATCCAGGGAACAGACACCACCCCAGTGGACACTGCTACTCAAAAGATCCTGTCTTGCACACATGGGGCTCATGCACTCCACAAGTGCAATCTGTGTAGATAATCACTCAAACAACATTTAACATCAATTACACTGCAGCATCTCCAGTCGTGGACTGTTCTTAAAACCATTAAAGTGAGCTTACATTCACATTCCTGCTTTTGGGAGCTTTATATTACACAGTGAAGTTAGCAACCCACCAAACCATGCCTCTAAAAGCCTCAATCCCAGTTGTTAAGATGGGCAGCCATCAAGAATAAGCCCAAGATGGTGGAGCTGCTTGGATACCAACTATATAAACATAGTTAGCTAAATGCAGTGTGTGAATGAACACGGCCCTGCAGTCACCAACATGAGGATTGCACAATGACCTTTATTCCCCCAAAGAAGTATGAGCCTTCACTGCCAAGGAGCCCTCCCAGAGAGTTCTGAAAAAGAGGGTTGCCAAACAATCTTGGTTATATGTCTTCCCCTTCCCTTTTCCCCTCCCCTCTCCCCCCCTTCAGCACTCAAATAGCAGGGCACTGGCATAAAAGCAAAACCTTAGTTTAAGAGTTTTGTTCTACTTAAAGTCAACTATCAGAGGGGTAGCCGGGTTAGTCTGAATCTGTAAAAAGCAAGAGGGTCCTGTGGCACCTTTAAGACTAACAGAAGTATTGGGAGCATAAGCTTTCGTGGGTAAGAAACTCACTTCTTCAAATGCAAGTAATGGAAATTTCCAGAGGCAGGTATAAATCAGTATGGAGATGACAAGGTTAGTTCAATCAGGGAGGGTGAGGTGCTCTGCTAGCAGTTGAGGTGTGAACACCAAGGGAGGAGAAACTGCTTCTGTAGTTGGATAGCCAGAGTCTTTGTTTAATCCTGATCTGATGGTGTCAAATTTGCAAATGAACTGGAGCTCAGCAGTTTCTCTTTGTATGGAAAGTTGTGAGCAGAATCACTATGCTACAGAACAGAGTCAGGCAGCTAATATGACTCACATCAACTCCCCTTCATCTCAAGTCAGCTCCCAACAACTTTCAATAGGATTTTTCCTCCTTAACTCACTTAGGCTCTTGAAAATCCCATTGTGTTTAAAATGCCAGTAGCACCCACTGGCCCATCTACACTAAGCTTCCCAATGCTACCACCATTGGTAGTCTTGTGTACACTGAGGGGTGGTCTACACTAATGCTGTAAGTCAATCTGAGTTATGCAAGTTACGTAACTGAAGTTGACTTAACTTGGGTTGACTTACAGCAGTGTCTACACCGCGCTGCATTGATGGAAACGCTTTCCTGTTGATGTCTGTACTCCACCTCCCTGAGAGGCAGAAGCTGTGTCAACAGGAGAGTCCTCTCCCATCAACTTAGTGTCTTCACTGGACCCAGTAAAATCGACACCGCTGCATCAATTGCAGCAGTGCCGATTTAGCCGGTAGCATAGACATGGCCTGAGCCTTTGTCCTGCTTTCATCACTAGTGGTCTGACACCAATATAGCTCCATCAGTGCTCAGCCACAGTGTAGACAGGAAAACTGCTATAAACTGCAGTTTGCACTAGTGCAGCTTACACCTACCCATGCTTGAAAACATAAGCTGCACTAGTGCAAAACAAGGCTTGATAGAGGAAACCTGATGCTATGCTGGGGATTTGAACTGCTAACTGAAAAATCAGGACACATCCCCACTGTAGCTATGACCTTAGCAACAGTGGGAAATTAAAACATCTAAATCCAGCCACATCCTTCAGGTAATCTGAGCAAAGGCAAAGCATCATTAAACGTCTTTGCAGTTTCTAATGAGTATCAGAAATCTGTTTCTATCACATAGATCCTAATCCTATTGTAACGCAGGCAGGATCGGACTGACTGCCTGTTAGCTAAGGCTGTGTACCAGACTCATTTTAGGTCTCTAAGTGGTCTTGGTGCCACTAGATGGGACAGACCACCACACCCAGGAGATGTGTGGGTTATACTATCACGCTAGCATTCAGTTTGAATAGTATTTTGTAGTACATGGCAGTGCGTTGTTACAAGGCTGACAAAGTGCTACCCCTTGCTAGAAAGATCCATGCCCTAGGAAATCAGATTTTTTGGGGGGGCGGAGTGGGGTGCAAAAAGTAGTACTAGTTTCATCTGCTCTGGAAAGCAGTTAGTGACCAGATCACAATAAAGGAGTAGATTTCAACCACATTTTTACATCGCTATTGAGAGTCAGGATGCTATAGTTTCTACAATATTCCTTTTATTCAGAGAAAAGGCTTAAGTACAACACAGAAATTCCAGTTTTTTCATTTGATAAATATGCAGATTGCCAAGTAAAATTCTGTACAACTTGTATAAATACAAAATGATATGTTTTCAGTGATAGTGACAAAACAGCATTTGGTGATGCACACCTTCTCAGAGCAGAGAATTATTTCCTGAATGGAATAAGCTTGCTTTAAATGCTACCAAACTTATTTTCAGCTACTGAAATATAAAAATAAAGACATTTCATTTAGGCACGGAATCATAGAAGAATTTGCTCACAAGTATAACCATTTTATTGCTTACTTATCAGAAAGTGCTCATAAGGAAACTGAGGTAATTTATTTTGGCTCTCAATACTGGCTTAAAAATTTGATAGTGTGGATTCTGAACACCTGAGTCAGACAGACATCCGCACACTTCACTCTGGGATGCCACACTGAGGACACACTAAATACAAGACTTGGGGTAAGAATAGTTTGGGGTTGTTTTTGTTATTGTTGTTTCTGGAGTTTTTTGGACATGAGAGCAAAGGAACACGGATTATTCTGGAGATTTGAATTAAAAACAGAGGATACATTTGAATTAACAAAAGCCTACAGCAGTTCAATGAGTATCTTTGGCATCATTAATCTGTATTTTAAAAGGGATAATAAGAAACCTCCAAATAGAAATCTCAAAAGGCTCTTGCTCGCAACAGCAAAATCCACAACCCCGAATACAATTGTAGTGGGAGGACTCTGGGATCACGAGAGACGTTTAATGCTATCATATGAGGTTTCCCTCAATTTTTCCATTTTCTTCCAATATGTTCACTGTCTGATGAACAAGTTAGTCATCAGCACTGCCAGAATGACAGGCATCTTTCCTGCAAAACCAAAATAAAGAAAGTTAAAACCAAAGTAAAAATGCACAATATCTTGACTTCACTCT